CACGAGGGCGCCCCCCCCTCTGCCAGGAAGGGAAGGGCGGGGCCTCGCCTCCACAGACCCCGCCCACAGCCTTCCTAAGCCCCGCCCCTCTCAGTGGGAAAGTGTGCCTAGCTAGTGCAGTCCCTGGCACCATGGATTCAGGACTGGCTGTTTTGTTGCACGGTGTTTCCGGACTGTGGGGAGAAACATCTAGAAAAGTGGCTTTGCTTCCCCACTCATTCACTCTCACCAATTTCCCGAATAACATTCTAAATTCTTGCGTCCTAGCCTCTCAACGTGCATTTGGGTGTTTCCGGCCTCTACCCACTTTCTAGGAGATTCTTGGGTAATAAACAAGACTGCAGCGCTTCCCCTTCACATGCACAAACTCTGGGTGTTCGCTACCTAGAGAGAAAGACACACCCCCTAAAAGGTCTCCTGTTTCTGGCACCGCGAAGAGGCTACTGCCAATCTTCTGTGGAAGTTAAAGGTGTTCAGGGATGAGGACCCTGCAGATCCACGCTGCGGTCTGTATTCCCACAGAAACCATCACATTTGAAAGAGGACAGGCACAATTTGTAACAAAATTGTTTCTAATTGCAAAATCGCGTGAGCAATCCAGATGGCCGGCGCTGGGACAGCGTCACGCTATGCAGCAGGGGAAATGCTCAGACCTTCATATATCCAAATGCGAAAGTCTTGAATAAGATGAAGGAAAACAGGCTGCACTTGGCTTTGTAATTACATTTATGTAATTTCTTAGATAGGCTCATTTACAAATCCAATTATGCAAAAAACAAACGAGCAACCGCATTAAAAGAATCTCATTCTTGTCTGGCTGGGTGGCGCACACCTTTAATCCCAGCATTTGGGAGGCAGAGGCAGGTGGGTCTCTGTGAGTTCGAGGCCAGCCTGGTCTGCAGTCTGAGTTCCAGGATGGGCGGGGCTGTTACACAGACAACATCAAAGTTTTAAGGAGTCAGAGAAGCAGGCCCTGGACACCAGAAATATCCAAGAGAGTATTCAGGTTTTCAAGGCCAAGAGCTCCAGACCCCAATACTGGACTACTTACAGGGATCGGTGCTGCTACCTGAGGGCTCTAACAGAGGAAGACACAACTGCTTACGGCTGCCCCCTGCTGCTCCTTGATATGCCAACCACTGAGGAGAATTAACGGTGAGGTGATAGCCCTTGCAGAGCTCCCCTTGTGTACCCTCCTCGAGCTCTATTAGTGTTGAAGAAAGTGATGGAAGGTGAGTTGCACAGAGTTCAGTCGGCGGTTCCGTTAGGGACTGTAGGAAGCCTTCACATGGCAGATCAGAACTGCTGGAACTCCAGTCCAGGGACCAGATTCCCTTTTCTGACCTTCCTGGTCATTATATACATGCGCACTCCTGGTCACTGAATGCATTGTACACTCCTGGTCACTGCATACATATACACTCCTGATCACCGTATACATATACACCCACCCCTGGTCACTGCAGGCATTACACACTTAAGTGTAATTAAGCACTCATAAATCAAAAAATTTAAAATATTGAAAAGAAAAAAAAACAAAATCTCTAAGG